AAAGTAACTTGTTCAATGCTATACTATGATGAAGTGGTAGCTCCACAATGACACAGTTTAAAACTATCCTAAAATTAAATGGTAACTCATTCCTACAATCTATTTTCAATATGTATGGCTACAACCACTATCAGGTCTGTTTTTATATATCAGGAGCTATATATCCAAAATTACTATTTCTTTTATACCTAGTATATACACTTATGTAAGGATAGAACTACTATTAAATTGTTCCTTGTTTTAGGATTTTACAATAAATATAAAGGTAAAGGAATAATGTAAACAGAATAGTAATAAGTTGTGTAAAAATTTCTGCATTAAGATATTACCTTAGCATAATCTTTGAAATGTGTTTTTTTCAAAGGCCACTCAAATCCAGGAACTGAAACATGAAGTGGAACATCTACAGCTAGAAAATGAATACCAACTTCGATTAAAAGCCATGAACCATTCTTTGAAGATGAAGGAGAACACAGATAAACACAAACAAGAAATTGAAGATCTGAAAGCGAAGATTGGGGTAAGGATAAAGTAAACATGTTATATGACTGGATGTCCGTCAGTTTCAAAACATAAGACAGTCATAACTTAAACTCAAACAATATGATCACACAACAGCTTTAAAACACAATTTCTGAAGAACCAACAGGGTTTAAGAAAGAGATTACTGAGAAAAGTCTTTATTGTAACACTCTACTGTCTTGATGACCTCCTAATCCCTAGAGTTACTGATATCTCTTCTCAATACTTTGTTTCACCACCATCACTCTTACTGACCTCCTGCCTTTGTTCTTGTTCATCAACACTGTTCTCCTTATACTTTACTATTTCTTTCTATTAACACTTCTTTCTTTTTAATCAATTCTTTCTTCTCAGCTCCACTACCTTTGCTGAATTCCCTAGTGCATATTTGTTCCCCACCATAAATCCCAGTGTCTTCTATGTTTACTCTTGTTTCCTCCTCAAGAATATTAGTTTCTCACCACCAATTTCATTCCTTCCTGCTTTCTAGGGAGTGTTGAAAGGAAAATCATACTTTTTTTTTCCCGAGAGCATAACAAAGTAAAATAAGATTTTAATTCAATCAAAAAAGTAATTCCAAGTATCAATTGGCCATCATTGTTCTCATGCACGAGTTTTAATTGATTTGCAAAATATTTCAGCAATGCAACAAACATGTCTGTTTTTGTGGCTGTCTCTGTGAGCACATCAGTGAGAACACGAATCAGGCAAAGTTTCCAACATTTCTTCTGTGCATTGTCGAATGAAAGCTCCAACTTGAATTCCCGGAGCATGTCAGTGACTAGTTTCTCAGCCATCCCGAAGGCAGCACAAATGACATGAACCTGAGTTCTAGTGAGCACCATGATTCAGAAGTTTTTGCAAAAAAATAAAATTTGAAGAGTCAAACACCCAAGAGTACGTTGATACGTTGAAATGATGTTTTCTCACTTTTTATGATATTCGCGGTCCTAACAAGTTCATCATTACTTCAAGGTAAAAGGTGTGATTTATTTTGCAACATCTCTTACCATCACCACTCTTGTTGCATTCTCTTCTTTTTTTTGTCTTCCCAACTTTTTTATTAGTTCATCACCTTCACTTCAACAGACATCAAAAATTCATGATCACTTCCTCTTCAACATACCTTCCCACTTCCTACAGTTTCATCATCATCTCCACTTCAACAGACATCTGTCCTTTCTATAGATTCATCACTTCCTCTAAAGCAGGCATCTGTACTTCATACAGATTCATCATCACCTCCACTTAAACAGACCTCTCTATTTCTTACAGGTTCATCATCATCTTTATTTAAACAGACTCCTTATTTTCTACAGGTTCACTATTACTTTGAACTTCAACATTTCTTCTTCCTACAAGTTCATCATCACCTGTGCTTCAACATTCTGCTGTACTTCTTATAAATTCATCATCACCTACACTTCAATATTCTGCTGTACTTCCTATAAATTCATCATCATCTTTACTTTAACAGACATCTGTCATTCATACAGTTCCATAATCATCTCCTCTGAAACAGATTTTCCTACTTCTTATAGGTCAATCACAGCTTCACTTCAACAGATTTTCCTACTTCTTATAGGTCAATCAGCAGCTTCACTTCAACAGATTTTCCTACTTCTTATAGGTTAGTTGACTGTTGAAGTATAGATGATGATAAACCTGAAGGAAATTGAGAAGTCTGTTGATGGACCTATAAGAAGTACGAAAATCTGTTGAAGTAAAGCTGTTGACGGACCTATAAGAAGTAGGAAAATATGTTGAAGTGAAACTGTTGATGGACCTATAAGAAGTAGGAAAATCTGTTGAAGTGAAGCTGTTGATGGACCTATAAGAAGTAAGAAAATCTGTTGAAGTAAAGTTGTTGATGGAAGAAACCAATAAGAAATAGGTAGTTATGGAGAGATGGTAAAGAACCACCATCTCTGTTGTCTTCTGTATATAGTGTT